CAAAGACAAGTCAACATGTGAATGCCTCAGTCCTGCGCAGCGGCAAGCACTGGAAAACATTTCAATGCATCGGGCGGCGTTTGGCATCTTGGCACCTTTCCGGCGGCGGATTTCCATGACAAGATTTCTATTGTTTCGGTAATTTTTGAGCCGTAAGGTTTGGAAAGTCACGTTTGCGAAGGCTCTTGAAACGAACGAATGATGCGGGCGGTCGAGCTGTACTCCCCGCACGAGATTTTCGCTCTAAGGTCTGCGGGGCCCCGTTGTGAAGTGACACCTCTTGCTCTTTGCAATAGGTGTGAGCCCCCTTTTGGCATGATGTGTAACCCTAGCACTATAAAGCTATGTATACCTATGCGCCGGCCTGCATTGGGACTGCTGTGGACTGGAGTTGTCTGGGGAAGCGATAAAGGAAACCAAGACAAATACCATTCCTGGGACTTTAGCGCCGCTAATGAACGATACGGCTGTGTCCTGTCAATCCTAATTCGTTCCGGGGTACCACTCTTGGGACTTCAGCCATACGAATCTTTGAAACTGTTGCGAACATTTGGAACGCATATGCGCTGCGGTAAGGCGAGAACCTCCTTTGAAGAGGAATCGCCCTCCATCCTTGAAGCAGTTGCAATCTTTTAGGGCGAGTGTCCGCGGCGCTGGGGCGAGAGCCACAGTTTCAAACAGACCCGCCCTCCATGTTTGGCTTGTTTGTAATTTTTTCAGACGAAAATGTACGGCGCTAGGGCGGGAGCCACATCTTCAAAACGATCCGCTTCAGGATCATACACTGTGAGGAAGTCGTAGGCGAAACGCCCAGCCCGCCCTTCGACTGGCTTCGGGGTGCGAAAAGTATGAGTTCCTATAAGGATAAGGAAAAGGAATGGAGAAGGAGGAGGAGGAGGAGGACCAGTGTCAATCCAATATGCATCAACGATGTTGGAATCCACCCTCCCGCCAAGCTCCCTGTTCATAGGACCTTAGAAGGACTCACTTCCACTGAGGGAAGTGCCCCGTTGGGAGACAACCATGTGAACATCCTGAAGCGTGCCAAAACACCATTCTCAGCATTTCAATGCCACGAGTCAACCTGATTGTTGCGTCTAGACGATCCTGAATCGTGCCAGAACACCCTGCCTGGGACTTCAACACCGCGAATCAACGTAACTTTTGCGCCCTGGCAATATGGAATCGTTTGAACAAACTTTTCAGGAAGGTAAGCCATGATAATCCGCGAAACTCTTGCAACTCTCTAACCACATGTGCGCGGTGCTAAGACGAGAGTCACACTTTGAAAAGGAGCCGCCCTCAATCCGTGAATCTCTTGCACTTTTCTAAGACGAAGGTGCGCGGCGCTAAGCCGAGAGCCACATTTTGAAACCGAGCCGCCCTCAAACTGTGAAACTCGTGCAGATGTTTGCAACGAGTGCACGCGGCGCTAAGGCGGGAACCACATTTCGAGAACGACAACGCCCTCACTCCGTGAGTCTCTCGCAGATGTTCACATCGAATGTGTGTGCGGCGCTACGGCTAGGGCCACCGTTTGGAAGCGACCCACCTTCCATCTGTGAACCTGTTGCCAGTTTCTAAGCTTCAGGCTCACAAAGGGCACGGACGTCTCAGGCGAGACGCGCGGCCTGCCCTTCCGACTGGCTTCGGGGTGCGACGGGGAGGAGTTATGGAATGGGGGAGGAGGAGGAGGAGGAGGAGGAGGAGGAGGAGGAGGAGGAGGAGGAGGAGGAGGAGGAGGGGGAGGGAGGAGGAGCAGGATACACGCCAACTCGATGAATCCGAGCGCGCCGAGACAGGACCGAGGGAAAAAGGAGGCGAAGGAGGGGAGGAGGAGGAGGAGGAGGAGGAGGAGGAGGAGGAGGAGGAGGAGGTGGGGGAGGAGGGAGGAGGAGGAGGAGGAGGAGGAGGAGGTGCAGGACGAGGAGGAGGATGAGGACGAGTAAGAGGAGGAGTAAGAGGAGGCGGAGGATGAGGAGGATGGGGGAGGAGGGGGAGGAGGAGGGGGAGGAGGAGCAGGAGGAGGGGGAAGAGGAGGAGGAGGAAGAAGACGAAGAACCATACCAATAAGACGGAAACCAAACTTATTCCGAAGAAGAGGAGGAGGAGGAGGAGAGTGAGGAGGAGAGGAGGCTAAGGATGAGGAGGATGGTGATAAGGATGTGGAGGGGAAGCAGGTGGACGGGGAGGGCGGGGATGATGATGCTGCTGATGATCATGATGATGAGGATGACGATGATGATGCTGATGCGGATGATGATGATGCTGATGCTGATAATGATGTTGATGATGATGCTGATGATGCTGATGCTGATGATGCGGCAGCTGATGATGCGGCAGCTGATGATGACGATGATGCTGATGCTGCTGAGTATGATGATGATGGTGATGCTGACGGTGACGACGATGATGCTGCTGATGCTGATGCTGGTGAAGATACTGCTGATTCCGATGATGACGATGACGATGGCGATGGTGATGGTGATGGTGATGGTGATGATGCTGATGCTGATGATGATGATGTTGACGATGAGGATTATGATGCTGATGCTGTTACTGATACCGATGCTGGTGCTGATAAGGATTTCGAGAATGATGCTTCTGATGATGATGACGGTTCCGATGATGATGCTGATGATGATGTTGCTGCTGTTGTTGCTGATGATGATGCTGATGATGATGCGACGATGCTGAACACGACCAGGTTGTTTATGCTGACACTGATGCTGCTGGTGCTGCTGATGACGGTGTTGGTGATGGTGAGGTTGGTGCTGAGGCTGATGCTGATGATGATGTTGGTGATGATGAGGTTGCTGTTGCTGTTGCTGCTGCTGTTGGCACTGTTGCAGTTGTTGCTGTTTCGGCTGCTGATGTTGTGGTTGTTAGTGTTGTTGTTGTTGATGCTGATGTTGTTGTTGTTGCTGATGATGGTGATGATGCTGATGATGATGCTGATGATAATGATAGTGACGATGATGCTGATGCTGATTATGATGCTGATACTGATGGTGATGCTGGTGAGACTGCTGCTGCTGCTGATGATGACGATGCTGATGATGCTGCTGCTGCTGATTATGATGCTGACGTTGATGATGACGTTGATGGTGGTGCGGGTGGTGCTGATGCTGATGATGATGCTGATTATGCTGCTGATGATGATGATGATGATGATGATGGTTATGATGATGATGATGATGATGATGATGATGATGATGATGATGATGATGATGATGATGGTGATGATGATGATGATGATTATGCTGATGATGATGATGACGACGATAGTGATGATGACGAATACGATGATGACAACGACGACGATGATGCTGCCGATGAGGATGATGATGATGCTGGTGATGATGATGATGCGGACTATCATGATGCTGCTGATGATGATGGTGCTGATGCTGCTGAAGATTATGATGATGCTGATGTTGATGCTGATGCTGCTGATGCTGCTGATGATAATGATGATGATGATGATGACGATGATGATGATGATGATGATGATGATGATGATGATACTGATGATTATGCTGATGATGATGCTGCTGATGCTGATGCTGCTGCTGCTGATGATGATGATGATGATGATGATGATGATGATGATGATGATGATTATGATGATGATGATGATGATGATGATGATGATGATGATGATGATGATGATGATGATGATGATGATGACGAACGGAAGCTGAAGGCTGGCAAGGCTAACACCGACGAGGAGGGGAGGATTAGGTGGGGCTGGACGCGATGGAGCAGGTTGAGCAGGATCGGGAGGATGAGGCGGAGGTGGTGGAGGAGGAGGAGAAGGAGGGGGAGAAGGATGAGGAAGAGGAGGAGGAGGAGGAGGAGGAGGAGTATCGACACACATTCGCCATCATTCAGCATTCTTCTTGCCTCACGGACGTCTTAATGTACAGACGTGGTAGTTGAGAAGCCGCGCGCAGGGAACACCGATTTTCGACGAGGGGAGACGAGGATGAGGATAAAGGGGGAGTAAAAGGGGGGGACCCAGGAGGAGAAGGAGGAGGAGGAGGAGGACGAGGAGGAGGAGGATGAGCAGGAGGAGGACCAGTGTAAACCCAAGAGTCATCAACGATGTTGGAAAAAACCTTCCCTTCAAGCTCCCTCATAGGCCCCTATAGCGGTTCATCTCTACAGAGGGAACTGCTTCGTCGGAAGACAACCGTTTGAAGATTTCGAAGAGTGCCAAAACATTGATCTCGGGATTCCAGCGCCACGGATCAACCTGACTGATGCGTCCTGACGAGACTGAATCGTGCCAAAACGCCACTCCTGGGACTTCAACACCGCGAGCCAACGTGACTGTTGAACCCGCATAAGCCGGAATCTTTCCGGAACACCCTTTCTGGACGTTGATCATGGGGGTCGTGACGCTCTGGAAAAATTAATGCGCGAAGGTGCGCGGCGAGGCGAGCGCCACGTTTTGAAAAGGAGCCGCCCTCAGTCCGTGAAGCCCTTGCAGATTTCTAAGACGAGTGCGCGCGGCGCTACGGCGAGAGCCACATGTCGAAAAGGAACCGCCCTCAATCGTGAAGCTCTTGCAATTTTAAACGAGACATGTGCGCGGCGCCAAGGCGAGGGCCACATTGTGAAAACCAGTCGTTCTGAATCGAGTGTGCGCGGCGCTAATACGAGAGCCACATTTTGAAAACCAGTCGCCCTCAATCCGTGAAACTCGTGCAATGTTTAAAAACGAATGTGCTCGGCGCTAAGGCGGGAGCCACATTTTGGCAACTATCCGCCCTCCATCTGTGAAACTGTTGCAACTTGTTAAGCTTCAGGGTCATCGATGGTGAAGAAGCCTCAGGCGAGACGTCCGGCCCGCCCTAAAAACTGGCCTCGTGGAGCGACAGGGAGAAGTTATTTATAAGGGAAAGGGGTGAGGATGAGGATGAGGAGGAACAGGAGGAGGAGGAGGAGGAGGAGGAGGGGGGGAGGGGGAAGGGGGTTGGGAGGGCAGGCGAAGGAGAAAGAGGACTAGTGGAGGACTGGGAGGAAGAGTAGGTCCTGAATCTTGTTCGGCTCAAGAGTAGCAGTGGCCCGCGCCGCTGTCACGACTCACACAATCACCCCGTTCTTCGAACCCTAATTACACACACCTCTTACTATACTAACAAACTGCTTGAGATGCCCCGCTCGGAGGGAACATCAGTTGCTTCTAAGGTGGGCAACCGTAAGTTTGTCGCCACGCTGGGTGGGGTGGACTTGGACTACAGGCTTGGTTTGGTCGTGGCGGCAGCGATCGTCTTGGCGCTCATCGGAGGCAGCCAGCTTGAGCTGGCTGTTGCTGCTCTGGCGTTTCTCAGGACTGCCTGGGTTCGCTCGCGAACGGGCAGCCAGGCTCAAGGGGCCAAGGGCTCGGCCGAGAGCTCCAGAGGACAGCCGCAGCAGCAGCCCAGAGTGGGCCCTGCCCAGCACCAGTGCGGCGCTGACGGGCTCTCGCCACAGGCGGGAGGCGCCGCTGCTGCCGTGGAGGACGGCAGAAAACCCAAACTCCTCCGAGTTCGCGGCCGCGACCTGCGCCCGAGCACCGTCTCTTCGACTGCGAAGCGGCCGGTCTGCCAGAAGTATCGACGACGCCTACGGCGAAGCTCTGCCGCTCCCTGCCTTTCGGGAGCGCCCATGTGGCCGGACGTTGTGGCCTAGCTTGGCCAAGCAATCGGCTCATGTGTCCCCCCAGCCGTTTTGGAAACGCTTCGGGGAACACGTTGGGGAACACATAAGCGGAGGAGAGATCTCTTCGGGCTCTCCTGGAGGCTCTCTCGGACGCCTCTTCGGGGGCCTCTCGGGCCGCCTTGAGCTATCTTGGGACCATCTTGGGCGGCCATCTTGGGTGCATCTTGGGCCGTCTTGGAGACATCTTGCGGCCATCTTGGGTTCTCTCGGGGCCGTGTTAGACGTCTTGGAGGCATTTTCATAGTCTATCTTCAGTCATCTTGGCCGTCTTACAGCGGAAAAACCGACGACCTGGGAAGTTTACGGGTCCTTTTGGGGCGCTTTGGATTTTTTAGGGGGGCCGTTTGGAGCGGGCCGTCCGATGAATTGGATCGTCAGAAGGCCCATGGGGATTTTTTGTTTAAACAAATTCCAGCAGCACGCCGTGCACCCCTGTGCCAAGCCAACAGGGGGCGGCGGCTGACGGACAGCGCGCATTGCGTACGATCCATCAGCCGGAAGAAATGACATCAGGGGGAGTCGGGAGCCTCGAGACGGGGGTCAATACAGACGGGGGTCAGCCAGGGCGCCAGATCCTGCAGGATCCTGCGAAGACCCCCTCTGGCTGACCCGGGTCAGGGAGCCGCTCGTGGCCGCGAGGCGGCCGCGCGTATTGGCTGACCCGGGTCTGCGAAGACCTGCGGTGCAGTTTTTTTTTTTTTTTTTTTGTTTCCTGCATTGCAGTTTTTGGTTTCCTGCTGACCCGGGTCTGGATGGACCCGGGTCAGGAGATCCCCGAGGGAGTTTGACGAGGTTGGCATGGCGGACAGCACGCATAGCGTGCGATCCGTTAGTCGGGAGAAATTCAGCAGGAGTTTGATGGGGTTAGCGTCCATTGCCCCAGGAATCTAGTAGCAGTACACCCTAAAACATTGAGATAGCTTGGAGTCGCTCTCGGAATGCCTCAAGATGGCCCAGCATAGCCCAACAAGATGGCTCCACTACGCCGTATTTCCGCCCTCCCACATGTCATTTCGTTAGGGACATCCGCACAACACATATATGCTGCCGACATTCCTCTTGCCCACAATGGCGATTTCGCCAGTGGCATCCTCACACCAATGCGATCTTGTCGACGTCGGCTTGGTGTCGGTCTTGCCCCGAATAGCGATTTCGCTAGGGACATCCTAGCAGCCGACATCGCTCTTGCCCAACATGGCGATTTCGCCAGGGACATCCTCACAACAATGAGGTGTTGTCGAGATCGTCTTGCTATTGCGCTTGCCTGAACTGACGATCTTGCGATGGATCCTCACAACGATTCGACGGTCCGCGAGGCTGGCCAGTCGGATTAACACGGCCAGGGGGGCGATACGACCTGGCGGATTACCGCGGCCAGGCGGGTTGAAATGAACATTGACAATGCTGGTTCAAACGGCCAGGCGGGTCACAACGGCCAGGCTGGGTCCAACAGCAAGGCGCTCCAGGCGGCTCAACATTGCCAGGCGGGTTAGAACGGCCGAGCGTGTCAGCTCGGCCAGGCGGGTTGAAACGGGCAGGCGGGTTAAAACGGCCGTGGGGGTCAACGCGGCCAAGCGGGTTCAACCGACCAAGTGGGTTCAAAACGGCCGAACGAGACAAAGCGGTCAGGCTGGTTAAACCGGCCAGGCGGAATAAAACGGCCGCGCGGGTTAAAACGGCCAGGTGGTTTCAAATTGCCAGGCGAGGTAAAACGGGCGGGCGAGTCAAAACAGCCAGGCGTGATAAACCGGCCAGGCGAATCCAAACTAGCAGGCGGTTTAAAATTGCCAGGCGGGTGAAAACGGCCAGGCGGATTGAAATTACCAGGCGGGTTAAAACGGCCAGGTATGGCAGCGCGGCCACACGTGTTGAAATGGCCATGCCAATGAAAACAGTCATGCGGTCGTGATGGCCGTGCAGTTTGAAGCGGACATTCTGGTCAAAACGGCCAGGCGGATTCAAAGGCCCAGGCGGATTGACAAGGCCTGGTGGGTTGAAATGGCTCGGCGGGTGCACACGGGAGCGCCGTCAATCTCCAGCTTGGCAAGTTTAAAAGGATGTGTCTAGCATCGTCTTGACATCTCTAAGGCTCACGAGGGCCCAGAGGCGGCCCAGGAATGCCCCCAAATCCCCCAAGGATGCGACAAAGGGCGAGGGGAAGAGGAGAGGCAAGAGGGGGCCTCTCGGAGCCTTCTAGGGCGAAGGTGGGTCTTGGGGGCTTCTCGGGGGATTTTCCGGGTTTTTTTGGGGCACGATTTCGGCTTCTGAAGGCGATCTTGGGAGCTTCTTGGGCCGTCTACTGGGGGACGCAGCGTGACTCCCTATCCTCTGCCGTCCCAGCTAGAGGCGACGCCGCCATATCTGCCAGTGTTGGCGACGTTGCCTGCATTTTATTTCAGGCGCCAGGAGTGATGAAGGGCTCTTGTCACATCCCGTCGCCATCTCCTATCATTGTCTGCGCTATGCCACTATTGCCACACTGGCATGGCACATATTTGTTAAGCTTGGTAGCGGAACTGTCGCAGCCGCGGCAGCTCTGCTCTCCTCCGCCCTGAGCGTGATGACGTACAACGCCATCTACGGCATGCGCAGCGGAGGTCACCTGCAGGATGGCAACATGAACATGGTGGACGCCTCCTTGGGCTTCCACCTCATGGGTACCTACCGCCACGCAACCACTGTGGCTCGGCTTCCGCAGCCTGGACATCAAACGCGCGAGGTGACTCGACCGACGTGCTGAAGGCCTTCCTCTCCTCATGCGCTACTTCCGCCTACTGCGCCGTCGTCGAGCGCGCGAGGAACCTCGGCCGCCCGCCGCGGCGACGACGTCATCTACTTGCTCCTCTACGTCATCGAGCGCGCGAGGAACTTCGACCGCTATCGCAACGACGACGTCGCTTACCTTCTTCTCTGCGCCGAGCGCGCGAGGAACCTCGACCGCTACCGCGGCGACGACTGATCTACCTCCTCCTCTACGTTAAGCGCGCCAGGAGGCTCGACCGCTACTGTGACTACTACGAACACATCCTCAACCACTGCCTCATCCACGTTCGCTCGCGGTGTCGCGAACGATCCCGGCATCTCCGGCCAACGGGATCACCAGTTGGCAAACCTTTCCTGTCGCGAGCCGCTCGTGGGAACTCGACTGGTAACGTCCTTGCATGCAGACGTACCGCGGCGTCGTCCAGATTCTTAAATCAAACGCACTAACTGGGATTGGTGGCGCATGGATTGACTGCAGCGGTCATTGGTGCCGTTTTTGGCATAATGAGCCGCGGGCGGGAGGGCGACCAGACAAGGGGTCCGTTATGGGGCCCCGCGGGCTCCTTGCCGTGCCGCGTCTGGATTCGCGAAGTTCACGCGTGGCTTCCACTCAGGGCGCGTGACTCCGTCGCAGCAAGCGGCAGTGTTGCAACGTGGTCTTCAAGGCTAGCCCGCGCGCGTGCTCTGCGGATCGCGTCGGCTGTCGACATTTTCGGTGCCGAGGTGAGAGGTGTCCGCGCGGGCCCCGTTGCCCACCTCCTGCGCTGCTTGGCCCAGAGGTTAGGGGGCCTCGAAGGCTAGTGACATTTGCGACAAGGCCGCGTACTCATGGGCTTTGGAGTGCAGCCCGACGAGCGCGTCGGCAGTGTCTTGGCTTGGTGGGGGGGCCCGCGTGGAAGCAGACGCTGCAGGCGTCGGCGTGGGCAACTTCCACTGAGCGTTGCGGGCGCAGCGGATGCCGCGAGTCGAAGTGGCGTCTCTATTGCAGCCTCTCGATGGCATGGTGCCTCGAACCCAGCAGAAATGTGGCGGTCTTCTTGAATCGGGCGCGCGCGTCGCTAACGTTTTCATGGTTGGCGACCTTCAACGGGCTGATTGGCGCCGGGCAGGAATGGCGGCACCTGGCTCCTGGATTGCGCCGTCTGGCCTGGGCGCTCAGAGAAAGTTGACTGCCTGGGCCCGGCCGATTTCGCCGACGGCCCCTGCTGCGACGCCCGCAGCGCCATGGGGCAGCCCCGCAGAAGAGGGCGATGGCGGTGCGTGCGCGGACGCGATCTCCTCGATTTGCGAGACCACTTACACCTGGGGGGACTTGGCGGACCTGCCTGAGGACTGGCATGCCCAAGGCTGTTCTGCTTCACGCAATGCTGCAAGGGCCGCTGGAGGCGCTGCGCGCGCGAGTCAGTTCGCCGCGTCCGACGCTATATGAGACGAACGCTCGCAGGAAGGAGGCGCAGGAGACTCGCGGGGAAGGGCAGCCAAGCCCGCGTTGCTGCACTGTCAGACGAGGCCTATGAGGAAGTGCCCCTCGTGGTCGGGGAAACGAGGAAGAAGGAGGTGCTCGAGACAGGCCCGAATTTGCTGGCAAGGGAAGGCAACATCTCCTAGGTAAAAGCGGACAAGTAACGACATGTCTTTATTGTTGATCTTTGGCCCGAGATTGTCCCCCGAATCCACCGTGACAAACTGCCATCATATCGGGCGCATTACTCGCGGGCGCCGTCGGATACCTGGGCCCCCCCGAACGCGCCCGCAAGGGGCATGTATATTTTTGGAAGCAACTGAATAATAGCTTTATTTGGTGTTCCACGGCGCCATGGAATATTCTAAGCTGGACTCCGCGTGCGCCATGAAGGCCAGGCGCGTGGGCAGACGACCGAACGCCATCGGCTCCGACGACGAGGACATAGAGGCTCGTGGAGACACGATCGGGGACACGCGATCCCGAATGTGAATCATGACTACCATATCACGCTGATCTAGTGGTTGAACACACACACACGCGGCATGTGCTGCGAAGTGGCAGATATTGCGATGTTGGACCTGGATCCTACAGCCGCATCTTCGCATCGTCGGTGCCCGCGGTCAACTCATCCAGTCGCAGGGCCGGAGATTATTCCGGGGGGCTCTCCTGGGAAC